AACTGAACATGAAAATATGCCATTTCATCTCTCAAAAACCTTCAACACATCTTAAGTTACAGTCCCCATTTTCTCACAAGCAATAATGACACAAACTTTGCTAAAACTCAGAATGAAAAGATAATATAGGGTTTATTAACAGAAAACTTTTTACTTCTCTACAGAAAGAACCATTAAAGTGGAAATTAAAACAAATCTCTCCCTCATTTACAAAGTACTACTGAGACATCTCCTTTTTTTAATGAAATACTGTATTTTTGCAGAATCCTTACTGACAGAACACTGAATGACTGCAGTTCTGCCAAAAAGATACATTCTACACGTTAACACTCTGTTTCGTTTACTAACATGACGTAATTTTATAGACCAATCAAATATTACATTCACTTAAAATGTTATTATTCAGATCTATTATCAGTTAAATCATCACTTTTTCAAAAGGTTTTTTGTACCTCAGTCTTCTTCTGAGGATCATGCTCTGGGGAGGTGTCCCTCTGGACAGGCTGTATGGACGCTTTGCTGGCAGAAGTTGTGGAGCTTTTTGGTGAATGAAAGGCATTGATAAGGTGACTCAGAGGAACAGTAGCCTGGAAAAAATTAGATAAAGACTCAGCCTTGTTTAAACTATTTAAACATACCTCTGTTCCAAACTCTAACTTATAACTGCATATCTTGTACACTGCCTTTAAACTGAGGACTTAATTATAAACCACACGATCTTCAGCACCAGAGTGTTACCTGATCCCTCTTTTTAAAGAGCAAAAAAAGAAAGCTTAACCATATATGACAGATTAAAGCTCATATTTTCATCTCTGAAGCAATACTTTTATAACTTGAATTATCTGTACTTTTTCCTGCATCATTATAAGCTATTCCCAAATGTTGCCTTTATGTTTTCTTCCTTGGGATCACACTTTCAGCTTAAGGATCAAAGAAGCCCAGGTGCACCACCTATCATAGCTCCTCCTCTTAACACATGACCACATCTCTTGGGAACATATGGGACAAATAACCCCAGCAGTTCTGAACCTCCTGAGACTCAGCACACGTCACTAGGAAGGAGCTGGGACACAGCCATGGCAGCTGGAATATCCCTGACTGCAATACCCGGTTGAAGCATAATCAGGTATGTCTGTGAACGTCCTACGACAAGGACTACCATCTTCGTGTTGACTAGACAGAAGATCAAAAAAGACAATGCTGTGAGACATGAAAACTGCCTCATAATTAATTGTCCAAAGTTGTAATTAGACTCAAGAGTTTGTGGCAAAACAATAAAGCCTCTAGAGGTCAAAGCCAACATCCCAAGCACTAACCCAACTTTCTGTCTGCATTTCCCACTTTGGTGAAATGACACATTCCTAGAAACGTACAAATTCTTCCATTTCTCTAATGAAAGCTTTAAACACATTCTCCACATTTGGAAAGAACAATCAAATCCCATTGTGGAATCAAACTATCATACACTAATACAAAACTCAAAAATAAAACCAAAACCACCGGTTCAGATCGAAGTCCATAAATCTCACCAGTCCCATCAGACTCACTATCTAATTAGCAATGTCTTCCCGATTGCGTTCGGACTGTTCTGTGTAACAAATTACCGACGGCTTTCCGTCTTCTAAGTCATTTCCTTTTGGCTTTCACAACAACCCGTTAAAATTAACAGCACAGTTTAACTGTAGTAACACACGTCACCACCCCTTGCTTCTGCTACAAAAACAGACACTAAAAAGCACCATCTAAGGTTATTTCGTCGTTTTAGAATGCTTGTACTCTTCACAAGTTTTTACTGTTCCTTCCTGTCTCCTCCATTTATGTATCTTTTTTCTCGATGCGGACCCCGCACCGCCGTAGCCCCCACCCGCTCACCCGTTCCTCTCCCCGCTGCGGCCCCGCTGACGCCCCAAGCCCCGGGAACGTGGCACGCAGGAACTCGGCTCCTCCCGCCGCAACCCGCGATCCCCGGGCCCTCCGAGCGCCTCCGCCCGGACACGGAGCGAGTCCCCACCGGACAGCGGGCCCGGGACTCGGCGAACCGCGCACCGCAGCGGGCCGGAGCGCCCCGCCAGCTCCTCACCTGGGGCTGCACGGTGGAGAAGGAAAACATCGTCCCGGCGGGGCCGGCAGGCGCCTCTTCCGCCTCCCAGCCCAGCCGCAGGAGCCCGCCCGCTGTGGCCGCCGGCGGCTGAGGAGGCCCCGCGGCTCCGCTCCGGGAAATGTCCGCCCCGCGGCCGCGCCGACCGGGCCGAGCCGCCCCGGAAGCGGCGGGAGCCCAAAGAGCTTCCGGGCCGCCGCCGCCCCGCGCAGCCGCCGCCTGGAGGCGGAGGAGGAAGAGCGGAGCGGGTGCAGCCGGGGCCGGGGATGCCCGGGCAGGGGGGCGGGCAGGGCCCCGCGGGGCAGCCGCTCTCACCCGGCGGTGGTGGAGCTGCCAGAGGGCCCTGCCCCTGCTCGGTGTCATCGCCCCCGGGTGTTGTCCGGAACGCGGGCTCGTTAACCGGCGCGCAGCGCCAATTCACACACCCAGGCGAGGTATTTGTAATTTTTATTCTAGTTTGCACACAGTAGGGACATAGGTAGTGAGCCACGAAAGGCTGGCTTCCCAATTATAAAACTTGACACTATACATTTTAGCAAAGACATCAACACTCAGTGGTTACAAATGACATAAGTCTTTTGTTAATTAGACTTCAACCCCGTATTTGCCAGCTATAGATCTCGCTTCTCATGTTAATCAGTCTGTAGGTGCAGTTTTTCCTTCCATTTGATTCTGGGGTCCGTTTGGAGTAGGTGGTCAGTGTCTCCCACTGCCAGAATTACCTTTCCCCAGTTATTGCTCAGTCCTGACTTCACTCCTGGTGGCTCGTCCAGACAGCCCATTTGTCTTGGGATTGTCTCTGCTTTTCCTTAAAACAAAAGATTAGCCAAGTGTATGATGTTTCTAAAGCCATGGAGGACAGGGAGGTGATTTGAGACAGCCAGCAGAACTTCACTGAGGCAAAATCCTCTCCGACCAGCCTAGTGGCCTTCTATGATGGAGCACCTATACCAGTGGATAAAGGAAGGGCTACAAACGTCATTTATCTAGACTTCGATAAAGCCGATTTTTGGGGGATTTATTAGCATTTTCTTTTTTTCACCTGACCACTGCTGTTCACTGAAAGTGCTACCCTACACCAACTACACTGCTGTGGATGAGCACAGCTCCACTGCTTCCTCCCGTTGCCTTTGTGTACATCTCTTCTGTTTTCCACTAGCACTCTCATGATCAAAGTCACGTAGCTCAGCTTGCTGATTTGGCAGAAACCTCACCTGACAACAGCAAAAAAAACCTAAAAGGTGATGAACATCTACCTAAATCCACTCCATTAAGCAGTTTTCTATGTAGCTGTACAATGGCTCATGCTGCCTCAAGGGAAGGGAGAGAAGGTGTTACCCTCTCTCCAGTGAGCTCATGCTGTAGTGGAATGCATGTTTCTGATGCACTATAATTGCTGGCATAACCTGATGTCTGCCCAGCTGCCAGCACAACAAGCAACCCCCCTTCTCTCAGCTGGATTTTTCCACTAGCATTGCAGCCGGTGAAAACACACCTAAACTAACATTGCAGAATTAAATGACAAACGCAGACAAGGATAAATTGTATGTAATACTATTACAAAAAACTAATTTAAAACATGTTTTCTGAATTTGCTTATTAAACTGCACATATTGCTGAGATCTGTGGGAGAGCAGCTCTTCACAAGTCACAAGCAAGGCCTCTGTGAGCAGGGTCAGATTGTAAGTGATGTATCTTGGAGGAAAAAAAAGAGCCTAATGACTAATCTGCAGTGTGAAAGTGCACTGTTGTGCACTGACCTCTGCAGCGATAGCTCTTTGCTGATGCACAGACTGGAACAGAACAATTATCACTGTGAATGAAACATGAGCAGCAATGCATATGTGAAACCAACATAAAAGCAGTAAGGCAAGGATTAAAAAAGTGACCTAAAACACAGCTGAGAGCAGTAAAACTGGTAAACACTGAGGGCTGTGCAGTGTAAACAGAGCAGAACAGGAGGGAATTCCTGTTCTCTGCTCTGGGAACAGAATGGCAGCTAGGTCAGAGTACACTGTAAATGCCATCCCTGCCCTTGCTGTCACAAGAGGGAGGCAGAATGTAGCCATGGAGATACCCAAAATAAGGAAACAAATTGTGGAACAACCCTGCCTAAGATAAATAGCAGATGAAGTAATCAAGAATTGGTGGGAAGCAACCGATTACATTAATCGAACTCCTGATCATGACAGACCCGCCCAGGGAGCGGTTTGCCAGAGAATGCCAAGAGACAGCGAGGGATGAGCAGCAGCAGTGAGAACTGAACAGGGCGTGTTCTCTGACACACAAACCCTCCTGGCTGGGCCATTTGGACACAGATCTTGGAGCTATCAAGTATGCAAGTGTGAGAAAATGATAGAAAAATAGAATATCCTTGAGTTGGAAGGGACCTATCAGAACCATCGAGTCCAACTCCTGTCCCTGCAAAGGACACGACAATCACACCATGTGCCCCAGAGTGTTCTCCAAATGCACCTTGAACTTAGATGTAAATGAAGCATATGAGAAAATGACAATGTGGACGCAAAGTCGTTATTTCTAAACAAACATTATCTTCCATTTCCTTGATGCCTCACAGCAAGCTCTGTTGAATTCCTACACCTTCAAGCCTCGCATGGGGGGACAGTACTTGCTCACAGCAAGTTACAACCTAGAGCCAAGCAGGAAAACCTAGATGCCCACCCAAGCAGCGATCAGCCAGCCCGGAGGAGCGGGGGTTTGTCGCGGACACGTTCTGAGGGTGGCACAGGACGGGACCAGAGGGACCCCCGACCATCCCCGCCATGGCCGGCGCCTCCCGCGGCCGCCGCGCGGGCTCTCGCGAGAGCTCGCGCTGCCGTTGGTGACGGCGCAGGCGGGCGGGGCCGCTTTGAATCGCGGCGGGCCCGGGGCCGGGCGCGTCATGGCACCCGAGCGGCCCGCGGGGGAGCGGGGCGATGCTGCTGGCCCCAGCGCCGACACAGCCACCGGCCCGACGCGTGTCGAGGTTCCTCGGCCCCCCTCCATCGAGGAGTTCACCATCGTGAAGCCCATCAGCCGCGGCGCCTTCGGGAAGGTGTACCTGGGCCGCAAGGCGGGCCGGCTCTATGCCGTGAAGGTGAGGCGTCGCAGGTGTCGCGGCGCTGCCGCCTCCGCGGCCGCGCAGCCCCGTGCGGGACAGGGGCGTCCTGAGGGGACGGGGAGGTGTGACCCTGGTACGAGCCCTGGGCCTCGGGGGCGGCCGCTGCTCGTGCACCCCCGGTGTCCTGGGACAAGATGTCCACAGGGCCGTGCCCCGCTCTCACCTCGCTGAAGTCCTGGAGGGTTTGGTCAGGGGACCTCTGATAACGACAGCTGCTTTTATAAGTACTTTAAATAAGGGGAAATATCCACAAAAGCCTTGCCAAGCGCCAGAGCGCTATTGGCTTCTCGCATGTAAACAGTTGCTGTAACTGAGCCCCCTCAGCTGCTGCGCCTGCAGGGGGCTAAAGCACCGCCTCTGAGAGACAAGACGAGAATAAATTATGAAAAACCCAACAAAAACCTGTTGCGTTTTCTGTGTTGTTAGACAAAGGACTAAAATCTAGGCTTGTCGTTAGTAAGAACCTTACCAATTATTTGGGCAAAGTTGACTTTGTGATTAAAAGGATTATAACATGCTACGTAGTACGCAAAGAATAGGAAGCATAAAAACGGTCACGCAAAATAGGCGTCGCTCTGTGGACCTGTGTGTCTCTACGTGGTTTTATTATGAGCATTGTGAGGCTACATCATTCATATGCTCTGTTTTGTTTTTCAGGTGATGAAAAAAGCAGATATGATCAACAAAAATATGGTTCACCAGGTGCAGGCAGAGAGGGATGCATTGGCTCTCAGTAAAAGTCCTTTCATTGTGCACTTATACTACTCACTTCAGTCAGCAAACAACGTCTATTTAGTGAGTAAAAAAATGGCTGCGGCGTTTTATGGTAGTCTTGAAAACTGGGTGTAAACTATAGTAATATCTCAAAACATTTTTGTAATGGTATTCCTTAGTCACTTTTACATCTTTCTTAGAATGACTAAACAAGTAAAATATTTCTCTTCCTCTGGTGTCTATAGGCTCTTTCTGCCTATTTTCCCCTCTATTACAGGAGAAACTTTTCTAATAGCTACTCTGTCTTAGAAACATGTAGAAATCTTAGGGAAAACAAGAAATCATTCTATTCAAGCAAAAGCCAAGTGACTGGAGGATACTCCATGGCTCACTTAAAGAAAATATATTTTACTTATTGCTGGTGCTCAAATTTTGTTACGGTTGTTGGCCTACATGACAAGATGATAACTGAGTGGCAAAACAAAATGCTGGTCCACACAGAGCGCTGTGGAGCACAGCAGGACTTGTGTATGGGTTTAAATACTGCCTCCACATGAGGATTCTGACTGTCTGCAGAGGGGCTGGCACAATTTGTGTGGATTGCTGTAAGCACACACAAGGAACAGCTTGATGAAATTCTGACACGAGGTTGCTATGCACTCTTACAATGCATTTTGAGTCTAAGTAAAGTCTTCTTTTTCTGGAATCTCTGAACTGCTGAATGGAGTAGAGGACTTCGTGGAGTAGAGTGAAGGATTTGTAAAGGAGATGCTAGAATCATGTCTTAGTGTGTGTGTATGTATGTATATATGTGTTTGTGGGAGAATACTGTGTATTGGAATATAAGTACTGGTGAGGTTTCCTGACCAAAACCTCATAAATGCATTCTTGACATCAAAGAGTGAGTTTCAGAAGCCCTGCTGACTTCTATTTTATTTTGAATAAGACATGAACCATCATAATGTGTCTGTATAATGGTTTATTGTTTGTGTGTATTTTTTTCCACTCTTTTTCATGTGTCTTAAATGCACAGTAACTTGCATTGTTTGCATTTTTGACAATTTTACTTATTTCACAAAACGAAGGTCTGAATTTATTATCGTGTATACATGATTGCAAGATAAAGTATTGAGATACTTTTGATTTGTATAGAACAGGTGGTCTTTGGCTTCAGGCCTCGAGTTTCACAGGAATACTTTGTACTTCATTTTCTATACTAGGGAAATATACAATGTTAAGCTAAATATAGGAATAAAAATATAGGTTAAAATATATACTATTCGGTATAGAAATATATATTTATAATATAGAAATTTTTCTGTAGTTAACTCTCAAAAGCTGTAGTCAGCTTTTTAATTAGCTTCTAAAAGTAATCTAGACAAATAAAATAAGCAAATGGTCTAGACTAAGAAAATGTTTCATGTCTGCTCTTACATGAAACTTGATTTTATCCAAGTGAAAAGTATTGTGTGGGAAATAAGATTTGCACAAAGGCACGTCTATCTGCTTCTGCTCCTTGAAATCATATTTTTCTAGGAGTGAAAGTTATTTTGTATTTTACTTGCAATCTTGAAATGTGTTTTAACTTTAAAATTTACAATGCTTGAATGACAGGTGATGGAGTACCTTATTGGTGGAGATGTCAAATCTCTTCTCCATATTTATGGATATTTTGATGAAGAAATGGCTGTTAAGTATATTTCTGAAGCAGCATTGGCTCTTGACTATCTTCATAGGCATGGAATAATCCACAGGTGAAATTTCTTTTTTTTTACAAATAAGTATTTGATAGTTTGGGTTTTTTATTTTTTCACTCTTAACGCATAACTGTCACCATTTCATTGTGGCAGCTACCACAGGCACTTCATTTGCTGGAGCTCTTGGAAGCTCTTTTTTGCGCTTGTGCACTGCAACAATGTTGTGAAATAATGGCTAAATTTGTCCTTGTGTGCTGAGCACACGAACCCACACTGCTTTCCCCTGCCAGCTCTTTCCCAGTCCAGTGCTGTATTAGCAGCTGTGATGGTTCAGGAACCCCCTGGGTACTGCATACATGGGCCTGTAGGACAAAGGGACACTGACTACCCGGATGCTCCCCCATAGTGAGAGTTCTTTTTGCATTCAGCAGTGCTACAGAGAACCACGTGAAAACTCCTTCTGGAGGTTTGCTTGTCACCTGTAGGAGCTGCACATTAGTGAGTGTTATGATGGTGCTGCTTGGGAAGGACACTTGTTGAGCCTGCTGAATGCAGAATATGCAACTCTTGACATGCCTGCTGATTTTTACAAAGCCTGAGATGTTTGTGCTGTATTTATTGCTAAGTAAATTTAATTATTTTGGTGTATTCCTCAAACTGGAATCTTCTGCTGGCTAAGAGATGTTACTGTTAAATAGCTCTAACCCATGTTTTGTATTGAGTGTTTCTGGGAAGTTAGCTTTCTTTGTATTGCTCAGTGCTCGTTTTGCTGACTTCAGCTATATTCATATTTTCAGGGATTTGAAGCCAGACAATATGCTCATTTCTAATCAGGGACATATAAAGTTGACAGACTTTGGGCTTTCAAGAGTTACTCTGAATAGAGGTAAGAGTTGTTTCTATCCTTTTGGTTGTATTAAAATGTATTTTTGTATCACATCTCCATATTCTTGAATACTTCATGTTCCTGTAAAGGGCACCTTTCAATTAAATAAGTGCAAATGTTACAATAATACCTGATTTCTGGTAGGTAAGTACTAGCCACATGCTAGTAAGGGGTCTGCTCTTTGCATAGCACTTCAGAAGGTAAAATATTTATTCTTTGAAACAAGGGTGTATGAAATATAATCTAGAGCCCTTTCTTTGGAAGGATATGAATTTCAAAGTTTTCTGAAGTCCGCTAGATTTCAATGGGTGAATGAATAATTCTGGCTTGTTCCTGTTTCTCTGACTACTTCTGCCCTTCAGTTCATATCTCCCAGTCCTGTATAAATTAATTTCCGATAAATTAACTGGGACATTCCAGACATTAATTTGAGGAATAAGGGGAAGTGGTAAGTCCATAACAGAAGATTAGATCAGTGCTTTGGCTTGTGAATATTCTCTTATCAAGCAGAAAATACAGCTGAATAGTCATGACTTCTGACACAGGCTGCAGATCTTAAGGTGAATAGCCAATTTCTGAACTGGTTTGTGCCTTCTTTGCCAGATCATCCAAACTTATGCTGCACAGCACCAGTTCATGTTTTTTGAGACAGTTGCTGGAGGATACATCCTTTTTATATAGTTAAAGGAATGTAGAGATTCCGAGTTGTCTATGGAATTTGATATATGATTTTGAGAAAATAAAATCGTAGGTATTCTGTATTTTTTATGATATACTGCTTTAACTGATGTTCTAATGGGACAGGTTATTGTGTCTAGTTGAACATTATACGGAAGCTTTAAAGCTACTTACTGCTAGTAAGCAAAATAAAACGGTATCTAAGGTTGAATTTTCACCTATGAAAAATTCTTGTGTAGCTTTTTTGAGATGTTTTTTGGAGTGATTCCAGGTTTGGAATCAAATTTAGTATCCTATCCCACAAGCCATAAGCTGGAACTGCTGCCTAAAAACCAAAGCTGATATCAAGTGAGAAAATGTAGTGTTTTAGCATAGTATGCTGGAAAAGAAATTTGACTTCTACAACTTCTGTATGTATAAATGTACAGATGTATAAGGAAAAACACATTGTGTTAAATAAGAATGTACAGGTAAGTCTTCGATTGGTCTTGGTGGCTTCATTTGTATATTTGTTGAGTATGTAACTGAATCTTTTCTTTCTCTTCATGAAACTTAAGTAAATGTCTGCAACTTTGCCTTTGTTTAATATCAAAATGAAAACCTGACCTACTTGATTTTGGTTTTTTTTCTTATGTAGAAATAAATATGATAGATATCCTTACTACCCCATCAATGGCAAAGCCAAGACAGGACTACTCACGTACTCCAGGACAATTGTTGTCTCTTATCAGTTCTCTGGGCTTTGTAAGTAATTTTCACTGTCTTTGAAGTCCTTCATCCTTTTAGTTTATTTACTATCTTAAAATCAATAGTTGGCATGATAAGGCTATTCTTGCATCTCTTCTGCCAGCTGGTAGAATGATTTATGATGTGTTTAGAATACTTTGAAATTCTGATGTGATTACTTTGAACTGTATTTTGAATTACTGACTTTTTAATGGGCATGGCCAAGCTCCAATGCAAACATCATAAAGAATGGGTGAAGTTACGCTCTCAGTCCTGGATTGAGAATTTGTTTGGACTCCATTAACTTTTAACTATGCTTCTTTCTGCTTCTTAGTATACACCTCCTGTAGGAATGAAAGTGCCAGGGCACAAATCAAGTCAGTCATCTGACAGTCTGCATGGAGTGGTTTCTCCTGTACCTATGGCCCAAAAGGAAAATACCCCTCTTTCAACTAAATTATTCAAAACACGTGAGTATACCAGGCCTTGTGCTGAGGAATACTCTGGCTGTAAGGTTATGGTCTTTTAATTTTATATGAGTAATTTGGACCCACTTCATAAAAGGTGTGATTCTGTTGGTGTCTTGCTCTGCACCGTTACTTCAGTGCTTTGCATCTGACATGTTTTCACCTACACTGCTTATGTCATCTTCTAAAGTGGTTTTGTGTGATTGGGTTTTTTCAAATCACGACCCTGGAATTCAAAATCACCCTTTAACGTTTTATGGAAATAGTGTCAGTTCTTGACATACTTTCACTGAAAATTATTAAATACAGCATTATATTCATTATATATTCATTTAAATTGTCTCATCTTGCTGCATTCTCATTTCTAACCAGAAATGGGTAAGAAGGCAACTATGCTGCTAATGTACTGCTTTTACATTCCTGGCAAGTCCCTAATTCAAAAAATCTATGAATTGACTATGCAGGGAAGATAAGAGAAATTGGTGTCACACTTAGCTTTCCTTAGCTTCCTTTCATGTGAAAGCTTAACATACTATGAAGTCAGTCACTATATGTTGCCTATTTGTATCAACAAATGAATTTTTTTTTTTTTCTCTTAAGATCTGGATAATTCTCAATTAACACCTGTAATGCCAGCAAGGAGTTTAACTCCTACTCTGCTTCAGTCAAGAACCAGGTTTGGTTCCTCCAGTGCCAGTACTCAGTCTCACACACACATGTCCAGTCTGGAATCAGAAAACCGGAGCAGCCCCAGGTGGGGGAAGGATGTAGAGGTCAGGACTGTTTCATCTTCCCACTCTGAATTAGAATTCATTTGTACTTGTGTATGCAGTGTTGCAAGTGTCTTCTACTTACTTACTTGCCTGTTATTTCAAGTGCTGAGAAACTTTCCTGCAGTAGAAGGAGCAGGGGTTGTAATTTGTGTTAAGTAGCCAATATAACCTTTTTCTTCGAACAGCTATTAGTCCTGTGCAATATAACAGGAGAAGTAAATGCTATTGAGCCTGCAGCACAATAAAAGAGAAGGCTTTGCTGGCCATCACTGGTTTAGCCCTGTCCTGCACAAGGTGGGCACTGCTGGGAGCAGTGGCTTTTTGGAAGCAGACTATATCCCTATAGCTATATTTGCTCAGCATTGCGGGCAAAATAATTTCTTTAAAAGAAAGAACGTGGGAAAACAATAAAATCCACTTCAAACTTCTATTAACTGTTAAACTGAAGAGTTTAAGGCTTTTATTACTGAAGGGTTTTATATCAACTAACCTAACACCAATAATTATAGCTGATATTATTTTATCCTATTATAATGTGTTAATAAAATTCTGCACAAGCACAAACCTAAAAGAAAAAACTGCTGTGCTGTGTAGTTCCTTGCCATGATTCCTCTTTAGAGCATATAGAACAACTCACATTTAAAACAATTTGTTATTCTGTATCTATCTGTTTCTTAGGCCTTGGTTTTAGTATTGTGTTATCAAAACAGTAATACCAGATTTTCCTTTTGTCATCTCTGAAGTGTAATATACCAGAGGGTGCCATTATGATGGGGTTCTTTCCTTTGAACTTTCTTGGAAATTGAAAACTTCTGTAGCTTAACTTCTTGAAATAAAATCAGAAACACGGCTTCAATTGCTCTATTTTTTCAGCCTTTGGCATTTAAAAACATGGCATTTTCTATTGTATTCTAGCAAGCTTATTTTATGTTCTTAAAAGAAGTCAAATTATCAAGTTATCCTTAATTTAGTTTTGAATTTTTTTGTATTTTGAAGTACGGTTTTTTGCTAGTAGTAGTTAGAATGAATAATGCTTGCAAACCTACATTTCATTATGGAGGTTGTAATAAAGTATTTCAAATCAAACATTTCTACAATGCTGTAATCACATTTTTGATAGTCAAAACTTAATGTGCTTTTTTGCAGCAAAGTGAAGATGAATCTCGTTCTACAACATGCAAAACCAGTAATAGTGGGTCAGATGTCCTTTCAAATGTTTTGTTGCCAAATAGCAATGGTATTGAAGTTGTAAAGAGAAAAGAGCTTGAGTCTGCCATTTCTCCCATTTCCAGCAACGATTCTGGCAGTAGGCAGAAACTGGGAAGTGAACGTTTGGCTATAACAGATACTCCCGTGAGCACTCTGGATGTGAAAGGTGTAGTAAGAAAGTGTATTTCTGAAAATAAGATTTGGAAAGAAAAATTTGTAAATAAAAGAGATATGACTTATGAAACACCAGAGACTTCCAGACTACGACAGTCACTTTCAATGCAAAATGATCCTGTCAAAGAGGAAGAAATGTTTGAAAAGCCAGGTGTAAAAAGAAGCTTTGAATCAGTTGACACTAGTCCTTGTCAGGAACTTAATTATGTTAAAAAAAGCAATGCAGAATATAAACGTGGCTGTCAGATCTCAGAATTTCCAGCAAACAAAGGGACAGGTTTGACAACAGAAATTCAATCCTTAATGCTTTGTAAAGATGGATGCCTATGTGACACCTGCAAAAGCAAGGAAGAAATAAAGAGTTTTATTAGTAACCAGGAAACAGTAGAAAGATCACTTACTCCAACTGTAGCTAAAAATCTTATGTGTGATCTGGATGCAGACTGTGGAAATGATGATGAAAAGGAGTACATGAACTCAAGTTTTTTATGCACTGATGATGAAAAACCTTCAGATGTCTTCAATGCAGATTCTGACGTACTTCCTGAAGTGTCTGTTACAGAAAGCCATCTAGAAAAACAGCTTTTAGATTTGGACAGAAGTGTTAAAGACCTCTCCTTTGAGGAACCAAAGCCTGAGGGTGTGCTAATAACATCACCAGAGTCCCGAGATGCCTCACAGAATGGAGAGGAGGCACATACAGTCCAGGACTGCAATCAGAAAAAGGATAATGACCAGAAACACATGGAAGAAACTTACCTTGACACAGTATCTTCTCCTCCAGAAAAGATGATGGAAGCACTGAGTCTCTTTAAAAAAAATGCTGTTGTTTTTCGGAGTTATAATAGTCCAATCAATGTATCCAATATATCTGAGCCATGCAGCATGACTTCCTTAGATATAATGGATCTTTCACCTGCTTGCAGTGGCTCTTACCCAACAGCTATCACTCCATTACAGAAAGGAAGAGCATATCAGATCTATCAGGTAGGTAAGGAGGCAGGTAGAAACTTCGTGCATGCACTGGACATTAGGGACCTGAAATTATTTCAATGGTAAATTTAGGGAAAACTCAAGTGGTTTGAGATAGTCTGTGAAAATGACCTTTGCTGACAGGGTTTCACCTGCTGCACTTGTGTAGCCAAAATTATAATTTCTGTAAGAATTTAGCAGTAGCTTTATGTTCACTGGTTTTCCTTTGGTTCGACATGCATTGACTATCCATCTCTGAGAAATCTATGCTATTACAGTGAACTGATTTAAAAAAGCCTGTGCTATTTTGTCTCATTCTGCTCCTAGTGCAGTGTTGTATTTTCTGTGAGCAGTCATAGGTTTCCTAATGTAATGGGAAGTCTTTGCTTTTTGGTTTTTTTTGTTATCCTGCACTTCCCAAGACAGTTTGTGAATGCTGTTCAGCTGCAGGTAACTGCTGTTGTACCTGCTACTTTCTTTTTTTTATCCTGGTAAAAGTGATGGTGTAATGTATTCTGTCAAGTGCCAGTTACAAGCCTATTACAAAGATTGATGTAAACAGTGATAGCTGCTGGATGTGACACTGGAGGAAGAACTTGGGGAAAAGTTTCTCAAAAAGTAGGCATTTTTATGCTTCAAGACTGTTGAGATAAAGCAGTGCAAGCACATTTCACACATGCTTTTCAGGGAATGTTTTGTGACTCGTTCTTGACTTGAACTTAAGTATCAATTATTATATCTGTGGCTAAACCTGGAGATGGGTGTTTGTGAGCTGGTTTTGTGTGACATCTGAAATCCTTGTCCCATCTTTTCAGACCCCTCTTCGAGGGGATGCTGGCACACCATACAGGACTCCAAAGAGTGTTCGAAGAGGAGCTGCCCCCGTGGAAGGTGAACGCATCCTGGGGACCCCAGACTACCTGGCACCTGAGCTGCTTTTGACACAGCCTCATGGTAGGACAAGCCAGCCATCTGTCAGTACTTTAAAAGTGACATCTTTACATTTCTAAGTGTCTGTTGAACTGTAAACGCTTCAAGCAATAAGATTGGGAATTCTTCAAAAATAGGTAGTGCTAAGCATTTGCCATCATGGATGGCTGTGTTTGCTTCAGCTGCTCCTTCCATTCATTTACTGCTTTCTCATAACCAGGGGTTTTGGTTGTCCATCACAGTCTTGCTTGCTGCCAGTCAGCATTGGAAGCTGCTTTGGCAGCCTGAGACTTGTATGTGACTTAGGAGTAACAACTTAGTCATCCTGAGTGCCCTTAAAAGATTCTTTGGAATGGGAAAGGAGGAATTCAGTGAAATTTTAGAGTGAAAGGCTTAAGCCTCTGATTATTTTTAGAATGTCTTCTGTGTTTATTGACATTAAAGTGTTATGTGAAGCCAGACAATTCTATGAAGTGGCCTTAAAATCAGTTATTGAATTGAGTGACCTCATGAAACGCTTCAGACATCTGACAGGATCTTCTGTATGTGCAGTAATAGCCATCAAATTTTTGGAGGTTGGTTTTGGGGTTTGTTTTTTTGTTTGTTTTCAAAATACTATCCTAAAATAGCACAACTTTGAAGGGCATAAGTTTCTTTGTCTCAGATTATGAGATCCACTGAGATTAACAAAAAGTCCGAAATAGTTTTCTGCTAACTTGCAAGAACCATTAACAAAAATTAAATGCAATGTATCCATCTATAACAGTTGTTGAGGTGTAATTGCATTTTATTTCTATCTCAAAAGTATACTACTATTTTGTAGAGCTGCAATTGGGAAAAGTACATGAGAGAGACCTTAATTGAGGGGTAGTGATTACTGTCCTGTGGAACAATAAAATTCTGCTAATATAAATTAACTAAAACTCTGTGAAGAGATTTAACAATTTAACGGTAAAAACTCAAGATGCTAACTATACGTAGTTAATTGTTTTGCACTTCCATTTAGGATTTTAGGTTATCTGACAGATGTTAAAACTAGATAATGTTTTGGAAGTGTAATCAGTGTTACTTAGATGATGTGAAACTTGGTCACAGGGTGATTTTTCTGTGGTCACTGGGTTTTCAGCACTTCAGTGAAAACGTGCAGAGTCTGGAGTTTATGTCAGGAAATTACAAATCTCCCATTACCTCCAGGGAAGCCAAGGATTTTGGAACTCCAAATTTTCCTTACTTAATATTTCACATGTTGAGCTGCTTGTAAATGTAGTTTTAATCCTAAATCAATAATGTTGCCAAACTATTTTATTTTTGTTTCTAATTTAGATTTTAAATTGCCATTTTTCTTTATTGTGGAATAATGCCTTAGGAAAAAAATCTTTATTCCTAGGCCTTCAGAGAAGAATCATACTTTACATTTAATGTTCGTATTTGTTATGGGTTTTTGGCAATAATTGTAATATTTTTACTTCATTGTCTTTTCATATGCAGGGACTCTGATCTCTGGTGAGTTTTCTATATTCTGTGCAGAACTGAAGTGTTCGGCATAACTGAACAGTCAGAGTATAACGAGATCACAGTTTCTGAGACCATTGTTTAGGTGAACAATGTTTCTATATAGAAAGACACGTCCAATACGCCTTCACATAAAAATGTGAAGAGATGCTCACAGGGTCAGGAAACATCATATCAGTATAACTAAGCTATCAGAAATCACACATGTAAACATGTACTTCAGAAGGAAAGTCAGCATTCTTAAATTGTGTAACAGGAGATAAAGCCAGAGACACTTTTTCTCATTGCTGCCTTTCACTTTATTGCAGTCAGGCTGATTTACTTTGTCTATGGGTGAAGAAGGTTCAGGTGCTCAAAACCTGGTGTTGCTGCTTCTTGCTTCAAATCACAGAAGCACAGAATATGCCAAGTTGGAAGGGACCCACAAGGGTCATTGAGTCTGACTCCTGTCCCTGCACAGGACAGCCCCAAGAGTTACACCTTGTGCCTGAGAGCATTGTCCAAATGCTTCTTGAACCTTTGACAGGCTTTGTGCTGTGACCACTGCCCTGGGGAGCCTATTCTAGTGCCCAACCACCCTTTGGGTGGAAAAGCTTTTCTTAATATCCCACCTAAACCTCCCCAGCACAACTTCATGCTTTCCTTGAGTCCTGTTTAGCTGGGATATGGTAGGAGTTAATCTAATTTTAGGTAGACTTTGTGTGGGAAAAATTGCTGCTAAAACCTGGTTGTTACTTTGTTCAGAGTTGTGATCTTATTAGACTTTGACTGGAGCTGGGAGTATTTTACTGAACATCCAGGTACTCTAACAACAGTGGATATGAACTCACTGCTTTGATGTGCTTAGCTTGGTGGGCCACTCTTACTGCTGTTAGGAGCTGCTAAAAGTGCATTAGATCACTGGTTAAACACTTTGATTTTCAACATTTCTAAACTTAACAGTAGTCTTTGTGAAATGGCTCAAACCCTTTGTTTGCTTGGAGGTGACTGAGGTTTTTTTATATGCCAAGAAGCCAAGAGCTATTAGATTTATTACCTTTAAATTCTTTTTTTTTTTAACAGCAGTTGTGGCATCTATTCTTTATATAGTGGAGTGGGCATGGCTTGAAGATGCAGAAAGCTTAGAATGCATGCAGTGGTGTCTGGGATTGCTTTGCCTGCTGGTTTTGATGTAGATGAACAGGAGACATTGGCAAAAAGACAAAACCCTGGAATGTTGAAAACCAGAACTATTTAATAACAAAGCAGAGATAGCTAATAACTACACATTGCCCCTGTCAATTCAGTGTAATGGAAGGTAATGCCAGCTTCATGTGTGCTGGCTCATTTCTACAAGCTGTCTTCACGGTGTTCACTATAATTTAGACAAACAAAAATTAAGTTCAATAGTTTGAAGTTTTGGAGACTTCTTAAAGAACTGAGAGAAGGGCACAGGCAGAATGTGGAGTACTCATCCAGGCTCTAGTCATGAGGCATCTAATTCTAATCACAAAACAATCTCTGGAAGAAGTCAGCTCCTGGGTTCTCTGTCATGGGAGTTGATAATTAGATTGTTACTAAGAGCCCTCTTGGTTTTATCAGTAAACCCCAGTGTTACCTATAATAAATTAGGGAGCAGAGTAGCTTTAAAAAGCCTTTTAATATATTTTTAATCTGCATGAATATTAAATACAGCTTGTCTCTTCATAATTTTCAAGAAACTTGCAGAATTTAAATACTCTTCAGTTTTGCTAATCTTTAAGTCTTTGCAGGTATCATTTGTGTAAGTGTAATGATGTGGATTTATTTTACCAGGTTCTGCTGTAGACTGGTGGGCACTTGGAGTTTGTCTGTTTGAGTTTCTAACTGGAATTCCACCTTTTAACGATGAAACACCAACACAGGTCTTCCAAAATATTTTGAAAAGAGGTAATCTGTTTTGATAGTCAGGGCAAGTATGTATTCCCAATATTTCTTTTATAGTTTGAGTTACCAACTCCATTGTATCTTTGTCTGTAGATATTCCCTGGCCTGAAGCTGAAGAAAAGCTGTCTGATAATGCCCAGAATGCAATAGATATTCTTCTAACAATTGACACTACTAAGAGAGCTGGACTGAAGGGTTAGTATTAAAATTGTTCTTTGCAACTAATTGCATATTTTTAAGTAGTGATCTCTTCCTCCTGAAACTTAAGAGTAATAAACTTCAGTGCCTCACTAGGTTCCATGTATAGTACCCAGCACTTAACAAGTTGTGGTATTCTCTGTATTTCTTGTGGGGATTTTCCTTTCTGAACAAGGTAGTTTTGGGGCTCGGTTGTTTTGTTAGTTTTTAATTTTTTAATTGAACTTCTGTTTTGCTTTACTGCTGTTCTCCTATGCATTTTTAGTGTTTGATATGTGATATACCAAAGTTCTCTCTTATCTAAGGCGTATTTGGAATCTTTAACCTAAATTACACTGGGAATCTTGGTTAAAAGATGATAGTTTGGGAGAGAAACCTCCTAGAACAAACAGTTCATTTAGAGACAGCAAGTTTTCTTAGGAATCACCCTGTCTTTGCTGAATGCATGGGAGAATACTAAGTTGGACAATACATACTGTATAAAGTCTACTTTTCTTTCCCTTGCAGAAGGGCTTAAACATTTGCTATTGTTAACAGTGACTATGTTTAATTTTAAAAAAAATGATAATGGAAAGAAATTTAGAGTGAGGTATTTCAGAAACAGAGAAAGAAATCTGATGAGAACTGCTCAAGAAATCACTAGAGAAGGAAATCACTATGGAAAGGCTTACACATAAAGAGAATAACTGCTAGAAGCTGAAATCAACCCAAATTAGAATAGAGAAGGCACAAGATTATGAATGAAGATTCTTGTGTCAACAGAATATCCTGTGACTTTGATATTTCCCAGAAAACAATTTGAAAGTGCTTTAGTTAAACACAAGCTCTTGTCTTTATTTCTGGATTTTAGAGTGAAATCTAATTGCCAGTCAAGGGCAGAATTTTAAAATAGATTACATAATGGTTTTTCCTGTCTGACCTTCTTCAAAATCCATTCTTCGTCAAGACTTAGAACTGTACTTGGCCTCTGACCAATTTATAGTCCACTGAAGAAAAGTTGGATGGGTAGTTTCAGGACAGCCATTAAGTTTTTCTTGTTGTACCTAAGTTTCCATCACTGTCATCTTCTCTCCCCTTCCAAAATTTGTGCTCTCCCTTTTATTGCTACAGCATGAAGCCTTTTGTACTGAGAAATCCCATCTATGTTGTTGTAGTGCTGTGCTTCTCTAAATTCAATATTTCTGTGTAAGAACAGGTTTAAAGCCACTTTTGGCTCAGTGGAACTGTGTGGAACAGGTTCCCTGGATAGGGGTGGCAGCTACTTGTCCTGCCAACAGTTTGATCTACTACAGTTGGGGGTAATCAAAGCCCAATTGAAATTTGCGCTTTTATGGACTTCTGAAAAGGAACATAGAATAAATCTACTGACAGTTGTAGATGAGGGAACAAAGTGACCATGGGGCTTGGACATAAGGAAGTTTATAATGCTTATGTAAACTTCTGTTTCAGAACTGAAGCATCACCCCCTCTTTCACGGGGTGGACTGGGATAATCTCCAGAATCAAACGATGCCATTTATACCTCAGCCGGATGATGAAACTGACACCTCTTATTTTGAAGCTAGAAACAATGCTCAGCACCTGACTGTGTCTGGATTTAGCTTATAGCATCAAGATAAGTGAACGTTCTCCATGGTTTTGCACACTTACAGGTGTCTTGTAAACCCTAGTTTGGTCTTGACTAAGTTTCCTTGCTGAATTTAGTGTGTTTCAAGTTACCAGTCTATTTTTATTATAGCCTCCTTTATTCTAAAGTGAAACTACTGTATGAAACCAGTATCAAGTGCCTTCATGCTACTTTTTATTTCACTGCACCTTACTAAGAGGCCAGAGCATTGCGTTTCTTGGAGCTAATAACTCTTGGCAATAATGGGGCTTTTTAGCAATGAATTATTCCAGTTAGGAAGTGTGGCATTATTTCCCAGCTAAACATAATAGGGAAAGGATAAAAACTGCAATTGTATCTAAATAATAACTTACCTATTGGTGGCTTCAGTGTGGTGGCAAGCTGGTTTGGGAGCAGTCCTTTCTGACCAGTGTGAATACCTATTCACTGTGCAAAATGGTCATTTCTATTCAAGGTGGAAAATTGAAATCTCAGTGCAGCATTGAAATGTCTTGTCTTCTGTTTGTCTTATTCCCAAGAAGGGATGAGAAGATACAGTGGTGTTCCAGGTTAATTTGGCTAGAAGTGGCATGTGAGACTGGCAGGAGTTCCTCTGGTTATTATCCTGTTCTAGAGAAATGGGGCAGGGAGAAGATACTTGGGACAAGTCTGTTAAACAAATGCTCTCCTCGAGTTGTTGTGTTGTAACCACTTGGGCTGTAGGAAGCTGGACTGAACATACATTTTAGCAGTTCCTGGTTTTATATTGAAAATGCGCAGTGTTTGTATGTGCTCACTTGTGTCAGGTGACAGGTGGTTTTTTGTATTCTAGCAAGCAGTATTCATACTGAAGCTGCCAAATATTAAAAACCATAATATATTGTAGGCTAACAGACTGTTTTGTAAACTCACAGCCAGAGCTTGGGATTTTGACTAGAATATGAGATAGAAATGTATATTCTGTATAAACCTGAGTTAGGGGGAAGTAGATTTAAATTTTTCTTTAAATGCAATACAAAATTTGTGGCTGCTAGGTTTTAGAGGTTTATTTGTAGATAATCCTGTTTAAATAATCCTCAATATTTTTCTTGCATAGGTATCTCTAACCTAAGGAAGATTTTAATTTTTCAGGTTAATACATGTTAGATCATTTGTGCTAGATGGTATTGCCAGCCAAGGGCCACATGCCAGAAGCCAAGCATTTTGCCAGTGATTTCTGCCAAGTGCCCTTTGATTTCATGAACTGACTCTTTCTGTAGCGATAGTGAGTTGTCCCTTCATTACCCTGCTTCCTGGAAGACAAGATTTATTGGTGGAATTCTGAGCAAATAGTGTCTGCCAGGCTTCCTGCTGTCCCCTCAGGTTGCTGGGAAAGGAATGGGAATGGTGAAGAAAAAGGAAGTTTCCTAGAAAGACCTAAAGAGAGCTGATGCTTAATAGATCAGAATGACCAATCCCAGCTCTTGGTATGATAACTCAAATTTGGCAAGTTTCAAAACATACAGCGAATTTCATTCCCTTTGCTACAGACTATAGTTTCAGAAAACTTCTAAATTGTTCAGTCTAACTGCAATTGTTACATGATGGAAAAGATGCAAACAAATTAATGCACTACTGAAGCAGTATTCATAGACCACATTCTCTGAAAGTGCTGAGAAGTTCTTTAGTGGTTTTCCTGTGTACAGTTAGAATATATAAACTGGGGTAGGAGGATACCTTAATCACTGGTATTTTATGCAATTTATTCTTCTATTTCTAGTAATCTAGTTTAAGAAAGCAAGTCTTACAAGAATTAACTATGATTACATGTCAAGGAAATAATATAAATTGAACATCACAACAGCTCTTTGTCTTGAGTGCTTTACCTGTTCCCACTTGGCAGTTTAACACATTGCCATCAAGGTGGAAGAAACTTGTTGCACTGGTATAATCTTTTTTTAACCCCTTGAAATAGTTCTTAATCATCTACAAGGGTCAAGTAAGCTTCTATAAATAACTTAGCCTAAAAGAAAATCGTGGGGTTTCTACCAGTTGATTAATGAAACACAAAAACATGGAGTCTGTAGAACAGTAAATAGGCCAATTGACAAATCTGAATGTTCAATATGAAGTTATCACTACACTGCTGTCCAAAATTTGAATTTCGCACAATTAGCCCTGAAAATATTGCAATATCCTGTTCTCTTCATTATCTTGCATTTATTCTGGTTATAGCAAATATGGAGTTGAATGTCAAATGTTGATTTTTGAGATTTGTGATGTGGTTTTGTTAGCTGTGGGATGTTTTGATTGGTGGGGCTTCTATCTTTGTAAAAAGGTAAATCCTAGCTTTATTGTTCAACGTGGAATTCCTTGTCAACTCAATGCCATTGGTTTTGCCCCACTTGTTGCTTGATTTGAAATACTACAGGTAAAAGTTTAAATGTATAATATAAGACGGAAGATATTTAATGTTTCTTATTAGTAATGATCTACAAATAATTGTGCAGGCTGGCAAAGGCTTATGATCCTTTGAAGCTGTGGAATACCACTTGGCAAGTACTCCAGCTGTTACATGGTGCTCCCCGAAGGCCTAAACTTGCTTTATGTATATATAACCTACACATAAACTCTGTAGCTTCCAGGTTATCTTGGGAGTTCAGCCATTAGCACAGTCCATCTGGAAATTACTGGAGAGATCAGTGTTGCACTTTGTTACACAGAAGCAGCAGTCTTGGACAGTTATTCCCAGCCCTTATGTGCTGTTCGGCTCACATACACATGGGGCAGTGTCTGGGGGCCAAGGTGCTGAAGTGCTGCCATGTGTTGTTGAGCTCAGAGGTTCCAGTTTCAGCATGGTTACTCTGGCAATAAAATGCACTTTTCCTCTCTTCTATTCTGTTCCCCAAAAGTTCACTTTGCACTTACTTCAAAATTCACACTTCAAAAATTCACTTTACTTTTGTGTAAATACATAAAATAAAATACTGCAGTTGTGCTGCTGCTTCTGCATATTGTTTTTCTTTTATTGTGTTACTTTTGCTCCTCCCAGGAGTGTGGCAGATGGATTTTTACACAAAGAAACCCTGAGTGCTTCCCACTACCTCAGTAAGTAAGGAAATACCTAATACTTCCAGTACAGGTGCATATGCCCTTCAGTTAGTTCATAACTTGCTAGCCCATGCCTTCAGGCTTTAGTACCAGCTACATTTGTGTCCTGAATGGCAGGACAGTAAAGTCCTGAGCAGGCCTGTAACTCCTGCAAGGTGTCTCCTCCTCTGCATAACTAGAATGAGTCTAGAAAAGGTGGTGGTTCCATCTCCTCAGCACTTGTGCTGCCACGGCACCAGAACAGAAGAAACAGAGCCTTGAGGATGGAACAGCTGCACCATGCACACACTTAGACCTGGCTCTGCTTCTGTGCTTCCAGCTGAGCAGCTCTGAGGGGGTGTAATGTCTAATCTCACTTGATACACAGCAAGCTTTTGCCTTTCAGGTGAAGCTTGATTCACAGCAGGAAACCAGCTTGATGTTTGCTTCACAATTGCAATTTGGGGCTGGGTCTGGCCCTATCCAGTGCTATGTAGAACTGATCCAGCTCCCACTCTCCTGCAGAGAGCACAGGCTGAAGCTAGGTAGCCCAGGTCTGAACTCCAGGAATCTGCTTACACTGCTGCCTCCACATCAAAGCTGTGTTTCTTTGCACCTGGGCAAGTTATAAAAAAACAAAACAACTGGTTTTCCTTACCTTTAAGCTGAAATACCTGCTAACTAGGAACCTGTTCAAATTATGGTGAGTTTGAGATAGGCCCAGTTCTGAGTCACAAGTGAATTTTACTCAAGTGTTGTTGTTTTGTATTACAACTTGGAGGTTGCAACTGATTCTTCATGATACAGCCAGCAGGCTCTTGAGTACACCCACAGCATCTGATGTACAACATTTAGTAAATATTAAGTTCAAGATAAAATACAAAATAGTAAGGGATTGATTTATTGAAATATGAATAAATAACAAGGATAGTACAAGCCTACATTTATTTCAGGGAGAGGTTAACAATTAAGTACCTTTGGGAATGTCTGTCCCATCTCTAAGAGCTCAACCCCTACAGGTGACACGGTTCTGAGCTGTGGGAGGCACTCCAGGGTGGTTTGTCCTGGCAGAAGACATGCTGCTTCAGGAGGCTGGGGTTTTTATGTGACCTTCAAGCTCGAGTGTCCTTCCTCTATGATTTCTATCCCTTATGATAAGAACTCAATCACTTTAGAGATTTTAAGCTCAGGCACAATGGCTTCAGGTCCCAGCAGAACTTCCAGGATAAGCTTTGTTCAAACCTGAGTTTTCAGTACATCTCATGCCAAAGCTCATCTCTGGCACATGAAACCATCTACTTGTTACAGCAGCCTTTGAAGAGGTTACAGCTATTTTATTTTATAATTCAGCTTTACAATAAGAAAATCAGAACAGGGGAAAAGTAACTAAAAAACATCTGCATGTAACTAAAAAACAAGATTAAAATTTCTCTGGTAAAACCAACATTAAATTCTGTGATTACATTTTTTTACAGTATAGCTTATATGAAAAATGTTTTCCAAACTATAAAAGATTTTCACGAAGGACCAAAAAATTATTATAATTAAAAATTATTTGTAGGATGTAGTCCTGGTGGAAAATGAAAGCACATCAATAATGGTGAAATTTTTGAAGAGTCAGAGCTTAACCATGGATTATGTTGTGATATAATTCTTCATAGCAAACTGTAAGTTTTCTGTCAAATCTAATTTTAGTGCATTTGCATTTTCCAGAGATTTAGACAGCTTATATATTAATTTATTTTAAAATTAAATGTAAAGCATGCTTTTGTCAAGCAAACTTCACGAGGTTGTACCTCTATCTGTACATGGGTTAATAAATATTCTGTGCGGAAAAGAAAAATATCAGCTCCAAAATTAGCTGAAAAGGATTTTTTCTGAGAGGAAGTAGAAGGATAAGAGAGACATACCAGAATAGATATGTTTCATGATGTGACTTGGGGAAAATCCACAACAGATTAAATCTTACTTTAATTTAACATTACCTGCCAACAGAAAACTTACAGTGCACTGAGCTTTTTAAAAGCTTAGAGCTAGACTTACTGAGCTAGTTTTCATCTCATTTTAAAGCACCTTGTGCCTAAACTATGCATTTCAGTCCAAATAAGCTGTTGTCAACAAGAATACAGTTATGAAAGTTAAAAAGATAAGGTGCAGCCTCTTTACATGGATCCCGTGTACCACACACTGTTTCCAAACTTGCATTTGACAGTCCCCCTGTTATTAATGGCTCTAACTTTCAGGATATATACAAATTCCCAAATCTTCTTTACAATTTTACAGGATAAGTGAAGGATTCTGACCAATTTATATGGAAATTGCCCCACACTAGTTTAGCAGCAAAAATAACAACTTGAATTCCTCAGAGTTATATTGTATTTTTCCAACAGCTTAAAATGTATTGAATTTATACTTTTTTAGAGCTTTCACCTGGTAATATGTAATGCTGTGGAAAAACAGATGGGGATCTTGAGATTGTAAAATTATTTCAATGTTAAAGTGACAGTTTTACAGATTTTTCACTTATTCTTTTACAGAGATGTTATTCTCTTCATCAACTGACACCAGCAAGGTCAGTAATTACTGAAGGCCCATCCACAAGCACATTCCAAAATAACTATTGTGCATGTAGGCTTGGGGATAGAATTATTAAATTTATTTGTAACCTAGGAGCTGTGAATCATTCAAGTTTCAATATTAGTCCTTAAACGTTTAGCTCAAAGGTAGTACAAAATATTACTGTAACATAAGGAAGATCGTCCCAAATTCTGAGATTCTATGAGAATTCAGACTTCCCTTGCTTTCCAGGGCCGTCTTCTCCTAGAAGTCCTTAAGCATAGTCATGAATTCTCAGTTCAGTTTTCTAGAAGAGGAAACAAATAAATTAGTTTAATGTACCTTCACATATGAGATGATTTTTCATTTATCTAAACAAAGAAATCAATTACATGTGAAAGGTTTTCACTCCAATAAAACACAACAGGGCTTCAAGATACCTGAAAATTTACCCTCTTACACCAAGGAGTAGAAAATACACTAAGAATTTGGAACTGCAGGTGGAATTCCTCAGAAAAATCCCTGACCCCATGTCAGTGGTGTGCTGGCTCAGCAAAGCAACACTTAAGAGCTGCTTTCCCTATGACTCCATAAAACTTACACTCAGAGGGTTGTAAAATCATGAGCTGAATCTAGACAACTTTTATTATGAAAATATATTTCTGTCTGGGTTTAGGGCCCTTAGGATTCAGGTTTTTAAGCCTTCTTGGTGAAGGCTCTAGTATGAGTACCCAGATTTTCAGCATTAAGTTCTCCATGAAGGAACAGAGGACAGGTTAAGAAAGAAGTGCTGGGATGGAGCTGAGCTACCCTTGCCCGGAGACAAGCTAAACACAAAGCTCTTGGTGACAGAAGGCTGTCCCTCCACCAGTTACATAGAATTTGCTACTCTGTGCAGAAGAGTTTGGAAGTCATTGTTCCATAGCTGCAGCATGAGAGAACTTTGCATGGTAGCAGAGACTCATGGTTTCTGCTGCAGGAACAGTTAATGTAACTTAAAACTGAAAGTGCACAGGGTCAATGTGAACACTGTGAACAGCTATTGCCTAAGAGCTCACACACTTCAACAGAGCACAAGCTGAAACTGGCCACAAGACAGGAGAAAAGGACTCGTTTTGCAATTCCGTTTTCTTACCGAGTGTACTTGATCAGCTTCCTACACACTGTTAAAGGAGACAGAACTCCAGATAGAAATGTGCTGCAGAAGCACATAGTCCTTAAATTCTGCCTATGAGTAGACTTCTTCAGACAGAGAGAGAAAAGCTCAAGAAACAGAAAATTCTTCAGTTGTTTCTGCATTGAAGT